CATTTTATTTTTAAAAGGAAATAAAACACTTTCTCAATGCACCAAGTACATGCTTTGGCAATATGAGATGTTGATGGCTTAAATTCTAGTATTACTGTTTCTGATGAGCTTGGTATATTGGGTAGTTTGCAAAAATGAATTCCTTCTGTTTTTCCTTTGTTCCTTCAAATCCAAAGCTTAGTTCTGGGTATAAAATCCTTCCAGCTTACTTTGCTTCAATTTGATTGGTTTTCCATTTCAACACTTCCATTATTTAGCCTGGCTTCATTTTGTAGTAATCAGACAAGCTATCATGCCTGAAATAAAAGTTAATAGTTCTGTTTGTTCTGTGTTCATCCATAAGCCAGCCTGGGTTTGGATTTCCCGTTTCAGTTTTAGGCCAGCCTGATTCTTCTTGCTTTAATATTAGACATGATGTTGATTTTGTAGTTCTGTTATGTGACTGTGTGGATTAAAACATTATGTAATTTCTGAACATTTTTTAAATCAACTCTCTTTCATTGTTGGTAGATCTCCTGATCCAGTGTTGGTTGGTGGTAGTTTTTATAGTTACTTTTATGTAAGTTGCTGTTGCTGAATGGAAGTATTTCTAGTAGAAAGTGTCATTAATTTTCAGTTGTAGTGTGGCAGGATTCCTAGAAAAACAGGCTTCTGCCTGCTTTAAATTCTAGTTACAGTTGTAAAACCTGGGTCTCTAGAACTGTTAAAGCCAGAACCAATGCTGTACACACAGGCCGAAGTCTCAGCTCTTGGGTAGAAAGATGCAGTTTCTCAGCTTTGAGTGCTAATCTCAAGGAGGATCAAAATGGTTTGTGACAAGTTTTGTTAATAATATATATAAAAAAATAAATAAATCATACACCCAAACTGAAAAAAGCCCCTATAAAACCATATTTAGTTGCTAAGCAACTCCCAGCAGTGCCCTGCCGTTTATGTTTCAGAGGATATCTGTAAAGCTTAACGAGCTCCCACACTAATGTGAGATGAGGCACCCTTTTATCAAAGCACTGCCTCGGACATGGAGTTCTCCCTCTTATCTTTAGAGGGTGTCATAAAAGAAAAGGCAATTCCTGATGTTTTATGAAGACAGAAAGAAAAGAGATAGCGAGGTAACACCCGACTTAAAATTTAAGATGAGTTGTCTTTTCTGTAGTGTTCACCTCTAGGTTCAGTGAAATGACTGAAGCAGTGAAAAAAAAAAGGCTGGTTTCTTTGGAAGCAGTGTTGAGGTCAGCAATTTGCCTTCTCTGTTTGCTTTCTGTTTGTTTTTGTTGTTTAGTTGGGGTTTTTTTAATAGTTGAGTGTGCAGAAGATGAGTGGAATGGGGAAGACTATGTCCCTGAGGAGAGCTTGAGGCAATGGGGAAGCTTGAGTAGAAACCATTAGACTTGGTAAACTATTTCAGGAAGAGAAAGTCTGATAAATAAGCATAAGATAAGGTGAAACAAAGGTCTTCATGGAACTGTGATCAGGCCTGTGATGTTATAATGTTGGTCACTTAAATTTCTTCTGCTTAAAAATGTACGTTTGATGCTTATTTTAAAGAAAATATTTATATTCTTACAGCAAGGTAAAAATGTTATATAAAACTTCTGTAGGTCTAGGTAAAATTTAGGGTGATTTAGCTGCAAAATAATGGACTTAGTCAATAATCAGATAATTCACAAGGTAATAAGTTTGTTTCAGAATCTGATCATGGACCATTTTGCAATCGGTTGCATTTATGGATCCTTGGGAGGTGGTGAAAATCATGCGACTAGTTCTATTGTGAATGGCTCAAACTAGTCTAATGCCTCCAAGAAGTAACACCTACTAACTCATATAGAACCATGAGAAGTTGTGTATCTAAAGTGTTAGAGTTCATCTCTCATCTCATATTTTAAGAAAAAAAGGAGATGCCTGGTGAACAGTGAAGCATATTTTCAAGGTAGGTCTGGTAAATACACATAGTATTTGCATTGGTTTCTTTTGCTTCCTCTGTCCTCTACCGCAAGAATAGCTACAAGTGTGTAGAGCTCCTGAGAAGTCTTCTAATTGATCATTATTAACTGGAGTTTATCTGTTACAGGAACAAAGAAGAAAGCTGCATGTCCAGGACTTGGTCTGTTTTATACCGTACTGTCTGCCTTCCTTTTCTCAGTGGCCTCTTTATTTCTTAAAAAAATAGAAGATGTACATTCAGTGGAAGTGAGTGCATTTCGATGTGTTTTCCAAATGGCATTCGTACTTCCTGGTTTAATATACTACAAGTAAGTGTAGTAAATATTTTAAATTAAAGTTATTTATTAAAAATAGACCTTGAATTATCACTCGCTTAAATCAGATTGCAGTATTATTTTAATTCAGACTTGAACTGAATAACTGCATTGTTTTATATTAGTTGATAGTTTTTTAATACAACTCAGAAAAGTGAAAATCTTTGACTCCCTGAATTGTAGAAATTTATACAGGGATTATATGAAATGTATTGATCTTCCATGAAGTAGTGTTCTTAAAAATAAAAGGTAATTTGTAGATACACTTGGGTTATTTTGCAAGCAAAAAATTAATAGCTAGAAAAACAGGTTCCAGACTTCGAATGTGATTGGGTGATGGGAAGAAGTTGGTCTGTAATCAGATAGTTTAAAATATTTATATGTTTAAGATAAGTCCCTTATCTAGAAAGGTGTGGACATTAAATGTGATTGGATATTGGTTATGAAATATGAGCGAGTGATATTAATGTGACATTTCTGTTTTTCAGAACAGGGTTTTTGGGACCAAAAGGTAAAAGAATTTTTCTTTTCTTCCGAGGATTCCTTGGCTCCAGTGCAATGATTCTTCTCTACTATGCTTTTCAAGTCATGCCACTAGCTGATGCCACTGTTATAACTTTTAGCAGTCCTGTTTTTACATCGTTGCTAGCATGGATCTTTCTCAAAGAGAAATACAGTATTTGGGATCTTCTGTTTACCCTCTTTGCAATCACTGGAGTGATTCTTATTGCCCGACCACCGTTTCTGTTTGGGTCAAACGTTACAGGGATTGAAGGAAGTTACACAGATCACCTTAAAGGGACCATAGCAGCAATTACAAGCACAGTATCGGGAGCTTCCACTTTTGTTATAATAAGGAAGGTGGGAAAATCTGTGCATTACTTTTTGTCAATTTGGTATTATGCAGTCATTGGTTTAATTGGATGTGTTATAGCATTGTTTGTTATGAATGAATGGCGTTTACCATACTGTGGTAAAGATAGAGTTCTTCTAATACTAATAGGCTTGTTAGGGTTAGGGGGTCAGATATTTCTCACAAAAGCATTACAGATAGAGAAGGCTGGACCTGTAGCCATAATGAAAACAATGGATGTGGTGTTTGCTTTTATTTTACAAATTCTTTTTCTCAATCATCTCCCAACTTGGTGGACTGTGGGTGGTGCCCTTTGTGTAGTAGCCAGTAGTTCTGGAACTGCCATTCGCAAGTGGCGACAAAGCTTGAAAAAAGCTAAGCAAAATGAAATCTAACAATACATGCAGTAACACATTATGGAAACAAGCAGTCTTGAAATATATATATACAATATTTATTTTTATTTATTTTAAATAGCTCATTTACCAAATTGTAGTATGAAGCTATATTCAATGAAATAAGTTGATTTAAAAAAACCCAACAAAAAAGCCAAACCAAACAACCAAAAATGATGATGTTTTAACAACTGATTAGGTATATTATTTCCTTACTCATATTTAGGCATACAGTTAATGAGAATTAAGAAGATATTTAAAAGTTTCTTGCTTTCTATCTAAAGTGGACAATAGTTTTTAGTGTTTATTTTCCTAAAATTCCTGTTTTTCCACTTCTTAGACCATTTCTCTGTTCTGCTAAGCAATGGAAATCAGTTTCCCAAGCTTATTTAATGCTATTCTCTGCTTGGTTATCAGAGGGATTGTAGTATAAAAGTTAGAGGGGAATGAAAAATTCTAATCCTGTAAACATCCAGCTTTTACAGAACAGGTAAAGCTTGCACATTTACAAATTTTCTAATTTTTTAAATTTTTTTTTGGCACAAAACATATCAAATGGGGATTTATTTTAAATTTGGATTCTAAAAGGATTAAGGATATTTCATCTTTCCAAGTAATACCAGAAGAAAATGAACTTGTGCAAATTATCTAACAGTTTTGCTTTCTTTTTAAAAAAAATTAAACATTTGCACTTGCTTTACAGAGATAGTGAAACAATCTAACCACCTTTGTTTTTTAATGTGATTTTCCCAATAAATGACTTTAGTTGCTGTACTCTCAGTGATGAGAGACAACAGTTATTGTATACCACTTATAAATCAATTGTGGTATGGAATATTATGCTGTAGCTGCACTTTTTATTCTATGCAAAATATTGTATTTTTTTAGGTATTTAATATAGGTTATTTTAAATGCTGCTTACAACCCTTTCATTTAGATTACTTTGTACAAAAGCTCTTTATGAGACCAAGTTTAACTCTTCTTGGCCTTCATAAAGTTAGGCAAAAGTTCTATTGCAGATTGTCCTATTTCCTAAGAATTTACAAGAGTGCAAGGTAATTGCAGTTTCACAGAAAATGCAGGTTGGACGAGGTTGTGGCAGAGATTCTGCAGAAGAGGTTTGAGAAAAACTAGGTGGGAGGGTGAAGCTATGCATACACATCTCATGACATGGAGGCATGCACACTACATCAGGCAGTGCTAGTGGTACTGGGGGCAGCTTCAGCCCCATTTCTGCAGCTGACCCTTTTAAATCTGCACTTAGTCACTTCTCTTACACATTATCTCACTTTATAGGCTTTATCTTGATTGCTACAAATACAAAGAAAAAAGGCTTTTGTTATTTATCTTAGTGTCCTTCATGTTTGAGAAGGAATATATGGTTAGTATCAGGTAGGACAATTTTCTCAAATGGAGTCTTATATATTGTTGGGTCATTGTCTCAGTAGTGCTTAAAGAAAAATTTTGCTTGGATCTTTACTTGGTCCTCTTGAAGTGTTTTTCAGTTATTTACTCACTCCAGTGTTTTTCTAAAGGAGAATGTGTTCTGTAGACTTGATATATGTGGGTTGTTTTTTTTTTCAAAAACACTGAAGGTAGCAGATGTTTTCTAATTTTGATATACAGATCTCGAGTCACACATCTTTTCTTTTGCTAATAAACATTGCATCCTGGCAGGACAGACTTAGGGGACTTGAGTCCCAAAGGACTGGAATGTGTGTAGTACTTTGGAATGCATCTAGATGCTAGGAGCCTTATTTGTGCAAGAGTCTCTATGTAATCCAGCACCCTGAATCCATATGTGGTCATGGACATGAACAGATTCCACTTCAGTGGTTGAATCAGTTCCTGCTTATGGCTGTCCGGTCTCTGCTTCTCCTGAAGGATGAAGTTCAGCTACAGCTGAAAAGGTCAGGAGTAGCATGAAAGTGCTTTCACATCCCTTTAAAGCCTGATGTAATAAAATTCCAGTTTGGCACCAGTGTCACTTAATACTTGAGATTATGAACTGGGATTGTTTCTTATGCTGCTCAGCCATCACTGGCAGTGAGCAACAGCTTTCACGGGAGGGAGGGAAAATAGGTGCATTTTTTTACTGCTTCATTTCATGTTTGAATTGACACTTGAAAAGGTGTGGTTCCAAAGCAGGTCAAATTGATATAAACTTTGGATGACAGCTAATCCTGGTCCTCCCGTTGGCTTAATGCTCATTCTTATGTGGTTCACTGGCCCCAGGAGCTGATGAGGGCAAAAACCAGAGTAGCCTGAATTTGATAGTGTGAAAAGGTATTAGGAAGGGGAATTGGATAACAGTTTGAATTCCAGCATTTGAATGCTACTTTGTCATAATATATGTAGAAGCTCATATAAAAAGAAATCTCTAGGTCATATGATTTCAATGAATTTTGTTTGTACTTAGCAGAGAGGAACAGGCTACTGAAAAAAGGACTGTTTTCTTGCCCTTAACACAAGTTCAGGAAAAAAAATTACCTGAAATCGATGTGATCCAGTGATTGGTCATTTTTCTCTCAAGTTCTTGCAGAAACCCTTTTTATGTATTTCCATACCTGTAGTGCCAGAAAACACAGATGATTGTTGTTTTTTTTCTGTAGTCCAAACCTACCAGGTTTCTTTATGGGCTCCATCTGCTTATTTTCTTTTGCTGTACTTAAACCTTCCTAAACATTGAAATTGTTAAAATAATAATTTAAACAAGATCCCATGTTGGACAACGTCGTATCTTTTGGTACATTATTTTGATTTTGATCCATCTTTTAGAGAATTGTTTAACTAGCGTGAGAATTAAGAATTTGACCAGGGCTTCTCAAGTCATAAAGCATGACAAGCTAGCTTCTGTAACTGGCTTTTCTACATGATACTGGGAATAGAAGACATTTAAGCTATAAGTATTTTGAACCACCTCAATTTTAAAATTTTTCTTCCTCTCAAATGTAGTTGAAAACCTAAATTTTAGTTGGAAGTCTTGAAGAAAATGAAATTATAGAAGTTTATGGATACACCGAAATGTTTGGTTTCTTAATTGAAAATATTTCTTAAAATTCCTGTTAAGATGGTCAAACTTTCAAACTTTTTTTTCCAGAACTTCACAGTTAGAGAATCTGAAATGAAATTGGCTGAGCCTTGATTCTATCAGATTCTGATTTTCCTTTTTTTATTTTTTATTTTCTTGGATAGATTTTTTGTTTTAAATATTGTTTAGCTCTTGAAAGCTAAAATAGACCAAGTTTCTCAGGGTCAAATGTTATTTTTTCCGAGCTTTGATTCAGAAATATATTATTAATGTTCATCACCTGTAGCATCCTGTTGTGATCCTTCAACTGGTTTTAAGTTTGATAAATATACTTTCCTAATAGCAGGTCCTTCCTTTGTAATATGATGAAATGTTGCAGTGCAATTGCTGTGCTATAAAGTTAAGTTTCTCTTGAATTTCAATATTAATGCAATGTATTGATTACAGTGACTCCTGAATAGAAAGAGAAATTATTATTGGTTGTTTTGCACATAAACACAGGGTAAAAAGATTTAGTTGTTACTGATGAGTCACAGGCATATTTCCTATGTTCTTTACTATGCAAAACACTGTAAACATCTGTTGTCTTCAGTGGGACTTTATAGCCTTAAAGCCTTAAGTACCCGACTCTTCTGTATGTGGCTTTTCAGCTGAAGGGTGAAAAAGCTATGTACTGTCACTGTGCAGTAGCCAGTTTCTTTCAGGCTAAGTCGATTGTCCACGTATGCTCTAAAAGCTCTCTAAATACATCTACACTCAAAATTTGACGAGCTCCTTGTGTAGACGAGGGCAGTCCCCATAGTTAAAATTGATTTCTTGCATTTGTCCAACACGAGGCTTGAAGTAACTTCAGCATAACGGCACTGGTGAAATAACTAGTTCAATGTATCATTTTTCTTCTGTAACTTGAAACTAAGCTCTTTCCCAATTCCAAAAACCGTTCTAAGGTTGCTCTTCCTGTAATTGATAATGACAAGATGGGTAACACTACCCTTGATCCTAATTTAATATAAACACTTCCTCACCCCTTGCCCCAGCAGTAATTTCTCTTCCTTGAGCTTTTGTTTAAGAGCTGTCTGTTGGATAAAAGTTTATTTCTAGAGATGCAGCCTCTTAAAAAGTTACTTTCTTGCTAACTAGCAGTAGTTAACCAGGAAGAGTCTGTTTTCCAGCTTTCTAACCATGGTAACCATGTCCCCGAGGGCAGTAGAAGCACAATCTCTGTCTGGGTGGGTTCAGGGTTGGCAGTGCTGACAGCAGATGTGCAGTGCTGACTCCAGCAGGACGTTGCAGTTACCAACAGAATGTTTTTGTGGTCGAAACTGCCTCTCCAGCCAAAGAAAAGTTGTGGCTTTATGTTCCTGCAGATGCAGTTAACTTCAGGGTGGCACATTCATAGACTTCTATGGTGATAACACTTCTGTATATCAGAATCAGTAATTTCTTATGTGAGTTATTGTTTGACAAAAAGGGGGTAAAAATACCCTCAGCATTAATTAAAGAATTTTTACTGTCTTAGAGATTGTTAAATATCTGTTGAATTATCTGTTTTGTAGAAGTTACTGGCTTTGTTATGTAGTAGTATATTTTTATAGGCAATTCTTATATATTGAAATGTTAAGAATATTTTCCTAAGAGATTTCTATTCATCATTGCTAATAAAATGAACTTGAAGAATTCGATCTCTGGTTTTGCATTGATTAGTAGAACATATTTTAATGTAGGGATTGCAAAAGCTTTATGAAAGAACTATTTAAGTAAACAGTCCCTGCTAAAAAGGAACATTTGCCTCAAATTCTGCTGCTATTGGCATGCTGTGTCACAAGAATTCGTGCCTTGCAACAAGCTAGAGAGGAAAGGAGGCTCCATTAGCTTCCATACAACAATTTCTTAACTGGAAACACTGTAGCATTTACATGGTCAGTAAATTTAAACTTTCTTGTGTCCACGTGGCAATTTGTTTTTGTGTGTTTGTTTTGTTTTGGATCCATGATTTGGATTAAATTATTTTCCCTCTGTCACAAGGTGATAGTTAATTCATCCTGGGGCCTTCCCGTATCTAGTGTTTCAATAATGAAGTAAACTTTTCACCAAGGAGGAAAATGCTAATTATCTTATTTTGTGCAGAAACTTTGCAACTTTCTCTTGGCAGTTCTGTAGGTTCTTGGAACAGCTATAAACACCTAGTACATAAAAATTGTAATCTTTATGGGATGGGGGGAAAGCTTTTTGGATAGACAGCATTGAAATATTCCTTATTTAGCAATGGGTAGCATAGCACAGAGAGATGAGGGCTATTACTAAATACTAAGACTTCTGAAACAAAATTCTAGAATTATATCTAACCACTTAAAAAGGGAAAAGATATTGAAGGATTTAAAAGGAAAAAGCATTCCCATTATTTGAAAAAAAACTTCAATAAAATTGCAAAATACTTGGGGGATAACTTGCATATGTCATTATTGAGTTGATAAAGTATTCTTATTGTCCTGAGGCTAGGAAGCAATACATGAGATATAATATTCAGATGAACTACTCAAATAGGATTCAGTTGATTCTTTTGATTCTGCAATTAGCTTTTTATTGAACTTTGTTTTCTGACACTACTCAATGAAGTTCCTGTTTTATCCTGTAAAGTAGCAGCAAATTCTGTGCAGGATAATGATGAACTACTTTGTCATCTGAGCTTACTGAGCAAAGCAAAAAATGAGAGGGATGAGTTCTTGCGTTGCTGGTATAAAGTGATTCCAGTGTCTGTGTGAGAAAACCTGTGTCTTCTGGTCAGTGAGTAGAATGTTCTTTAATTTTTACTCTGTACTGTGACTGTTCTGTCAGTAGGTGGGGCTGTGTTTCTTAATGCTAAACTCATTAAAAATCAAAATCCAGTTTAGAGAACCGAAGTTCCAATGCAGTGTGATATACACGATGTAAGTATTTAAACAGGAATCTAAATGCTATTCAAGCACTTTAAATGACTACAGAATGTTGCCCAGAAATCCCCTGAATAATCTCTTGAACTTTTTTCTGATGTTTCAAACTGCGTCCTGAAGTCAGGAGCAAAATATTCTTGAGTGTACGGAGACTTCAGCAGTGTTCTCTCTGCAATTCTGTAAGCTCTGTGTTGCCCCAAAATACTCAATTTGGAAAGCAGGGGTAGAGCGGGCCTGCCACTCTCATGTGAATGTCAGTGAATTGGGAGGGGATGTTGTAATGAAATTAGAGGTCTCTCATCAGTAATGATGTTGCTGGATGTTATGTGGTCTGTTTAGCTAGCATATGTCTTAAGTAATCTTTAAAAAATAAAAAATCAACAACAAACAAAAAAGGGGATGACAACATTCTTGCTATTAAATTATTTGGGGTAATTTGTGATGAGTTAGGATGAATTTAGGAAAATATTTCTAATTTTGCACAGAAATAGAGCACATATGCTCTCTGAACAGATGATCAGCATCTCTGAACTGTTGGCTCCTGTTTTTCTCCTGTTTTACTGGGAGAATTACAAAATATTTTTTGTTCTACTCTTGATTTTTATTTTGAGGCTGAAGTGAGACCCCTACATCGTTCGTGAGTTGGTTCTTGGTGCAAGTGCTGAGGCAGTGAGGCCCTAAACATCTGCTAGCACCTCATCCCCAGGTCTCTATTGCCAAGTATTTCCAATGCCAGGGTTTCCCAGTAGCTGTGTTGCTGTGATCACCAAAGCATAGGGGTATGGACAGGACCAGGTGTGCTGCAAGAGCCTCTACAGTCAGAGCAGCCAATAAAATGAGGAAGTTGTGCAGGCTTTTGAACATAGACACACTATGCTTTAAGTCTGGTAGAGTTTGGAACAGTTATTCCAACCTCAACATAATTTGAGGATGGGAAATACTAGAAAGGGAGAGGGTGATACATTTAACTACTACTACAGTGAGGTAGAAAAAAATACTTGCCAACCTGTTTTCCATTGGAAGATTAGCTGGAAGATTTTTTGCTGTTGTCAGCTGGCACAAGTAGGTGTTTTTTCTATTTAATAGGAAGTACTGGACAGTTTTTTGGGAAGCTAAGTGATGTTAAAGGAGAGAAAAACCTTTTTAATATTACTTGGAAAGGCTATGTGGCAAATCTGTTTTCAGTCCTATAAAGTGTACCATGAGTCAGGTATTAATATCTATGTTTTACTTTCCCATTTGTAATTTGCTTTTAAAACAAATGTTAATTCATGTCACCATAAAAACCGTTCAGTCACTATTGAGTTTTGATCAGGAAGTGAAGGAAAAAGCTGTAGTCATTTAAAAAGCAGTCCCGATTGTGTAATTTTATTTACTTTACCAGAAATATTTCATGCCAAGCAATCCCTTTTAATAGATGTCTGTTTAACTTCTTCATTAAACATCATCTTTATATGATATGAATAAGGCCCTATGTTCTCCCATATGTAGGAATTTCATATGAAAATACTCAGCCAATGTTCTTTACTCTTGCCATATGGCAAAACATTTTCTTCATTATTAAAAAAGGAGAGTGATAAAGAATTACTACAATCTGAAATCTACTACTGGGGAACTACAAATAGCAATGTAGTCTTTTCTACCCAGAAGCCTGGTTTCCTTGTGTGATTATCTTCACTATTTTACTATACTTGCTGGAACCATGTAGCTGTATTTTCCTTGCAATTCATTAGTCCTTAATAGGAAATAAAGGTGACCAATTTCAATTTATGATGTTATTAGCACAGTTAGGATATGTTATATTTTCAGTGGAGGGAGGTAGAATTTCTTTTATTTTAAGCTATGCAAACTGTAAAATGTACAGATTAACTATATCAGCAGAACTTGTAAATTTTATTGTAAATGTCTATCATAAATTATCTTGACAAACCCAACTTCAGAGAACAGCCTCATGTATGTCAAGTTCACTCTGAAGGGGAAGGGATGGAAGAAAAGGGAAAGGAAAAGTGTGTGTGTGTGGAAAAAACCTTTGTTCTTTCACTGGTAAGTGCTGAAGAGCAAAACTGTTCAGATGAACCCTGTCTGCGTGATTGCGTGCAGGTTTAAGGAGAAGGAACAGTTTGTTCTCTGCTGATTATATAAGAACACCCTTGGCTGAGTGTTGCTTTAGATTACAACTTGTATACCAGGGTTAGCATGGAAGAAAATAGGAAGACACAGAATTTTGTTTCATTACTGTGCTTTCAATGAAACCTGGAAACCATGGTTTTGAGATAACAGATCGTCCTTTGTGTTAGTCTGTAACACTCTGAATGTCAAGTTTTGATCAACAAGCTTATGCACTGTTTTCCTCAAGAAGAATGTATTTGACAATTTGATTCAGCTCTTTTAAATTTCTAGAGGACACTCTTGTCTTTGGAAGTTTAGAGGTGTCCGCAGATATTTTGTAGCATGTTTTTCTTATTTGCATTTTGTCTCCTTTTATTGAATATTTAGAGCCTCATTTAAGGATTAAAAGCAGTCTTTCTGCAGTCTCTATTGATCAATTTTTGTGAGAAGAGAGATTTCCTCTATCATATTCACACTTACAGTTATGTTTCAGGTAGGTAATTAATGAAAAAAAAGCAGCAAGTGTTATTTGCATTTAATTTCTCCCATATAAATGTTCTTGGTGCATTAGGAACTTCTAGAAGGAAGCATGAAGGATTATGCTGCACTTTAAAAAATTACAGCATACTTCTCTTTCTTTTGAGGCTAATGGATATTTTTAGATCCCCTCATTTTTATATACATCCTAGGATACTTAGATAGAATCTGTTGTGAAGACCAGTGTCTACCTTTAGTTTCTCAGTTATGCTTAGACTGCCATCTGACCTATGGGGAAGTGAAGGTGGCTACTATGCTTTCACCTTCAAGAGGGTGGGAGAACTGGGTGTACAGGGACAGCCAACAAAAAAAGGAGTACAGTGCTATGGACTGGGCAGGACAATGCAAATGTGGTGACATTTACAGTGACATTTACAACATGCTAACAACTTACAAACTGGAAATCAGGTGGAGATACCAACACTGCACTATCTTCAGAAATTCTAGGAATTCATATTTTGGATGAATGGTTTATCAAGCTCTTCCCATACCAGCCCCTTTCCCAAACAACAGCAGTTCTTCAGAAACAGTTTTACTGTCAAAATCTGGATGGCAATGTATCTCTGTTTAATCTTATTCTTTACCTTTTTTTTTTCTTTACCTCTCAATTCTATTTTTACAACTTTTGTGATAATTTCAGGTGTACAAATATTTGTATGTGTATTTATTTCTTAGCCTTAGCATATGATTCCAAATTGTAATTAGTGCCTCATTGTTAAAGTGTACCAACCTGTTTATAAAACACAGCATATGTATATTTTTTTGAAAGGAAATATGGAGATACTACTTTTATAAGCCTGAAAGCTGCAGAGCAGATGTGGAAAGAATTACTGCAGAGTCTCAACTGGCATGTAAAAGAGAAGCTGTTTTTTTTTTAATTAAAGAAGAAAGAACACTT